GAATGAATACGAATGCTATTTTTATATTATTACATTATTCTATTTAGTCGGTAGTCTTTAAAATAATTTTATTTAAAATATATTTAAATAAAATTATTTTAAAAACTACCGACCTCTGACTGGTACACGACGTATTTAAAATAAAAACCATAAAATAAGTTTTAAAAACTTATTTATATAAAAAATAATAAAGATTAATCTCTTTTAATCCTTTTTACTAAAAACATCTATTTTAAATAACTTAATTTTTTAAAAATAAAGTAATAAAGAACGTTTAATTCTTTAAAGAATTAAATTTAAAGAATTATACGTTCTTTATTACATCACTGGCTTAGCCCTTCAATTACTCTATTTTATTTTATTTTTTAAATAGGACCAAATTTAATAATTTGACTTTAAATTATTTGAAACAAATTATTTCTAAAATTTGAAAATGTTTTCATTTATTTTTATCTAAAAAATGTATAACATATCAACTTTTTAATTGTAAGTCATCAAAGAGTGAGAGAGAAAGAGATTTATAAAAATTAACATACAAGATACACCGGGCAACAAATTTAACGCAACACATGTTTCACTCTGCAAAAATAGGCAAACTTTATGATAGAATAACTTCGTCAAAAATTATTATATCGAGATGTTTAAAAAAGCATTGAGCCTTCTTCAGAGACAATGGAAAATTACATAAATAAAATATAATTTAAAATTGACAACAAATTAAACAATGTTTAAACACCGCGAGCTCCCCCACAACCAAGAAATAAAATCAGATGACAATTTAATCTTAAAGAACACAATAATATGACCAATAAAGGCAGAAAAGAAAAATTAATAAAAAGAATGCTGGAATTCAGAGAAATAATTTCCCAGAATTTCTTAGAACACTAATAGTTTTGAAATTGAATTTATCATAATTACGATTATTTTACCGGAAGTGGGGAGGCTCACCATGTTCATAACGCTGCTGTATCGCAAACACTGTCAAAACCGGTCTTCAGAATAATTTAGGCCAGTCAGTCTCATACACAGTGAATCACAACAAATTGTTAGACGGTATTAAATTAAAATTATCAAATTGCAGATAACAAATGTTAACATTCAACCACTGTGCACAAACGAGACTGACTTAATTGTTTTTTTA